CACCAGAGTACTTCATTCATCACTGTTCTTCGCTGGTTGTTGGATCAGGTTCAACGGCTCTATGTGTATGTCTGTGTTCAGCTTCAATTTTTCTTCCTCCTTAGCTATTAGATGCTCGTGTGTGCGTGAATAATAAGTTCAAGTTCTTTTTTCTCTAATTTGCAAATTCTGCTTCTTCTCTTCTCCGTTCAGTAGTTGAGTTCAAATTTCTCTCCGGTTCATCAGCGTGGTCCATGAGCTGAGGTGTGCAGCTCCTACTGCTCTTCGGTTGAGGTACCTCTAGTTCTTCTTTCATCTCCTTCAATATCAATAGCAACCTGAATTTTCCTTTCTCTTTCCCCTAGCCAAAGAGCATGTCTCTCCTCCTCATAATGGCTATTATAATTTTGTGGAAATTGATATGTATTTTCAGTTGATGCTGTGCATTATTGTAATTTGGAAATGAGCTAAATGATGATAATAGAGTTATTGTTGGATGTTGATTAAATTGTTGGATGATTATTATAAACCAATTTTTTGATGCACTCAAGGACCTTCTCACTCGAGGGTGTATGGATCTTCATTTGTTCAGGGATGTCATAGTTGATGCACAGAGATTGGGTCTTGAAAGTTCATCATTTGAACAGTGAAAAAAATTTGTATGCAGATTACTTAGCTTGGAATTCTCATTATTTTGATGAAATATTTTGCATCTTTGATCACTCTCCAACTTTTCTGTAAGGGTTGGAGAATGTGAGGGATCCTACATACCCTCTTGTTAGTGTAAACGATATGTAGTTTGATGCTTAACAGATTCCAGTACTTATTCAAAAAAAAATGTTAGATTTTGTTTTCTTTAATTTTTTCGGCCATATTTTATTTATGGGAACCTCCGGCTGTTGGATTTTTTTGCCTAGGAGGCCATCCACATCTGTGCCTGTTTTTTCTTTTTTTAATAAATGCCCAATTTTAATTTTTTGTTAGAAAGAAAATATCTATTAAAATTAAAATAAAGATACAAATATTTGAGGATAAATTGGGAGTAGACTCCCATATCCTTTTGAAGTTCTCGAAGTTTATATGGCAAAGAACTATAACCTAGAATTACAGGATTATAAGCAGATTTAGTTATAAAAATACTAATCAGCGGAGATGATGAAGGAGATGAAATCCAGGGCTGATTATTGATGAACAACAATTCATATCGAACCATTTCCAGAATTAATTGAATGCTGTCCCTTCTCTAAACCTTGGACTCTCCAGAATATAGTAGACAATCATTGAGGAGAGAGATATTAATGATTTTAGAAGAGATATATTTAATGATGAAATTCTTTATGTATATCTTTTTGCCCAACGTTAACGAAATCCCCATGATGCCCTAATATGGTTTCCTTTGAAAATGAAAACATATTCAATTAGAGCATATGGATTGCTCTAAATTGCGAATATAGATACATACACACTATGTATATATTACAAATTTGAGAAAAGAATAATAAATATATGAGACAAAAAGATTAAAATTTGCATTTAAGACGAAAATAAACTTCAACGTACCTACTTCTATTTTTATTTTATTTTTTTTTGACCCGAACCTACTTCTATCATTCGGACCAAGAGGAGTTACATTTTTTCATTTTTTATAGATATCTTTTAATTGGAGATAATTTTATTTAATATACAGTAGAACATTAAATGTACATTGTCAGGTTGAGGATCCTATTCCCATGTTTGCTATATTGAATTTTGGGCGCAAGCACTACATTAAGAGTCTAAGATAAAGTTTTTATCACGGCCCAAATCCAAGAAAAAGGCCCACAACGAGAAAACCCTCTTTTATCACGGTAATTCTCCCATATAATCGTTCATGGTAAAAAGGTTTGGAAGAATTATTAACCCAAGCAAAACAAAAAGCTTGAAAGAAGGGAAAAGGACGACAAAATTTGTTTGAATTATATAAATAATAATTTAATCTTTTAAAATATCATAATATTAATAAAAATTTTAAAGACCTTTTGTCATTAAAAAAATTAATGTAAATGATCAAATAGCCCTTAGTTTAGAACTTTAAATGCAAACTTACAAATTGTTGTTGCATTCTAGTAATTTTAAAAAGAAAATTGTGAATATTAGAATAAAACTTGTGAATGAAAATTGATATTTGCAACATTTGAAAAATATTAGGATTTCAATATACGAACTTACGAATTGCTATTAAATTTTTACTATTTAAAAAAGTTGTGAATCTTAAAACAAAACTTATAAATAGTAATTGATATTTGAATTAAAAGCAATTTGATCACTTATATTAATTCCTTAATGACAAAAAAATCTCTAAAGATTTCATTGATATTATGATATTTAAGGGATCAAATTATCATTTACATAATTTGAAGATATTTTATTCAATTTCTCTTGAAAGAATTACTTCAAACTTATCAAAAAAGAAGAGGAAAAGGCTGGAAAGAAAAAAATAATAATTCATATATAAATTTAGGAGAACATATTCTTGAACACCAAATCTCTAAGACTCATAGAATTAGCTTTTTTCCCGTTGAAGAAAGCCTCCTATACCTCTTTGCTGAGGCAAAGGTAAATTTGAATCATTTAAATTTAATTTGGACATTAGATTTAATATTTTTAATTTATATTTTTAAAATAAAAAAATATATATAAATTGTAAAAAAATTTTAATAAATATTATTATCAATCTAATTGTCTAGATTTAATATGAAGGATCCAAATTTAATACTAAAAATTTAAATTAACTTTTCAGATATAATTTGGGCGGTGTAGATATATTCTGAATAGAGCAGTGAACTCATTAAAAAATTTTAATATTAAATTTGGATCATTCATATTAAATTTAAACTGTCAAATTGATAAGAATATTTATTAAAAAATTTTATAATTCTTAAATAATTTTTATTTTAAAAATAAAAAATAAAAATATTAAATCTAAACAAAACACCAGAAATTCGAAATTATAGAAAATGCCAAATTTTTCAGTATAAAAAATTTAAAAATAAAATGGAGAAATGTATTCAAAAAAATATTTAAAAAATTTATCTAGTCTTAAAAAACTCTACATCACACTAAAATATTACTTCCTCCGTCTAAAAATGTAAGAAATTTTTAATTAAATCTCACTTCTCAATAAAATAATTACTTATTTCTAACTAACCTTATTTTTTTATATTTATCTCTATTAAATACTATACAATAAATATAATGTCATTATCAATAAGAGCACTTTAAAAAAAAATAATGATTATAATTTAAAAAATTAAAAATATTTTATATTTTTAAATATTTAAATTTTTATATATTTTTTAATAAAAAAAGTATATTATAAATTCTAACCTTTGAAATCCACCAAGCGCGGCTGCTCTCTTAGTCGCACACGTTATCTGGACGACCCCGAGAGAAGACGAAAGGAAGGGCAAGTGATTGCATTTAAAATAATAGGTGTGGGTCCCACTTTTTCTATTCATCTTCCCTCCCTGTTTTTTTTTTTTTTTTATTGTTATTATTATATTCCCTCCCACAATCCAAAGCGTATTTATCATAAGTTAAGTTGGAATAATATTTTGAATAATTTAATTTAATTTTACCTAACCTGATTTAATTATTCATTTTTAAAAATTATGACTTAGAATAAAATGACATAGAATAAATTCATCAAAATTTAATCCCCACTCATCCCAATAAATTTTTAATTTATTTTAACATTTTAATTTAAATTTTTGAAATGTTACACTTTTGAATATGCTATGACAAAAAAGATATTAATCTATGATAATTAATAATTTTTGTTATATGAATATAACATATTAAAAATAAAAATAAAAATTGTAAGAATTAATTAAATATTAAAATAAATTTTTAAATTAGATAAATATGAAATAAAGTAGGCAAATCTACATTTCAAATTCACCAAAAAATAGAATTAGCAAACCTACATTTTAACTCCATATTGATTGACATTTAAAAAATTATTTTTCTCACTTAAAATTACCCAATAACAACATTTAACATTTCAAAATTAAAAATTAAATTTTAAATACCAAACTTTAATTATCAAAATGCACCCTTAATTGGCAACAAATTCTCTGTGGAAAGTGCGGGACAAATTCTCAACCCACAAATACGTGGGAAATTCTGAAATAGTGAAAATTTGAATTTATATTTAAATGAATAAAAATAATAAATTTATTTCTTGTTATAATTTTTAATTTTTTTATATCCTAATTATTTGAATTTTTAACAACCCCAAGTCTTTTGTTCTCTTTTATGTTTAGTGTTGGTATTTCTGTTACTCAGCCATTTTATATCTCCTTTTCGCCTCTTACAATTAAAAACAAAATTTGGCTCATTACTCCCACTATTTCATTTTTGCTTCAGATGTAAACCCATTTCTCTTATTCCTTTGAATATTTTGTTTATAGGTATATTTTCATTGGATGCAATTTTATTCGAGATGTGGGCACTAAATATGGGTACATCTTTTAGTGAAGATTTAATTTTTTTTTTAATTTTTTTACTTTCCAAACAAAAAATTTTAAATACATAAATTAAAAATTAAATTTAAATTCATCAATTTAAATATCATCTCAAATTATTGTTTCGTGAAATTTCCTATAAGTAAATTGTGTGAGAAATTTTCTCACAAGTATATTATATAAGAATTTTTTTTGTCAAAGTGATTTACCATATGAACAGTATTTTGTTTGCATTACCAAATAAAACTGTGCTATGATTTTTAATGTCAAAATGGATGTACAGGAAAATACTTTTAAAATGCTAGGCATGTTTTGTTGAACATTATTCTCCTTTTCCCCACTCTCTCTTTTGTTGTCAGGTTATCGTGACTCGTATTCTTATGGCTCAATGACGTTACGTGTGATAATTTGCAACTTATTAGCTTAACAAGTTTTTTTTTTTTAATATTACATCTTAAGAAATACCCCATCCTCTTCTATTTGCTTGTCATATTTTAAAAGTCTTTTGTCTTTCGCAGCCACGCAGTGAGCACGGAGCGAACCATTCTCTTGCCTTTTACTATAGAATACTGTGTGCTCGCTGCTTAAAGTGGCAAACGCCAATTTTTGAGAGGGTCCACCTTATTTGGGATCCTAAAAAAAAAAAAAAAGACTTTTGTCTTTAATGTACTTTCTTATTTAAAAATATAAAATATTTTTAATTAAATTTTATTTTTAATAAAATTATTAATTTTTAAATAATTATATTTTTATATTTATTTTTATTTAATAGAATCTTTACCTTAAAATAAATATAAAATAATTTATTTAATAGAGGTATTTTAAAAAAAAATAATAATTATATATTAAAAGATAAAAAAATATATTCAATTTTTCAACATCCAACCTTTTAAAAAATATTTTATATTTTTGAATGAAAGGAATAAGTCATTTTTTTTTAATTTTTTGATGCACAATTCTTAAAATAGCCTTCGGCACATCTTAAAAAAGTGCAACATTTTTATTTTTTTAAAAAAAATCTTACCTCATATTAAATGTAAGAACAAAATAAAAAGTAGTTTAATTTTAAAATAATTTTATTGTACAAAAATTAATCATTTGATTTCTATAGTTTCTGCCAAATTGTAACTCAATTTTTAAATTTTGATTCGCTATAACTCAATCATTGAAGTTTTGACTCAATTATAAATCAATCCTTAAATTTTGTCTCTTATAATTTAGTTCTTGAAGTTTCAACATCTTAAATAGTAGTTCATATATTTTAAAAAATAAAATTATAAAGATTAAAAATATTTTAAAATTTTAATATTTATAAATATTAAAAGGGTTTAATAATTTAAGATATTATTAATAAATGTTAAAATATTTTTATTTATAATTTTATTTTTAAAATATAAGGACTAATATTTAAGAGTTTAAAATTTAAGGATTAAATTGCAAAATGTAAGTTCAAGGATTGATTTATAATTGAGTCAAAATTTCAAGAATTGAATTATAACAAATTAAATTTTAAAGATTGAGTTATGGTTAAATTAAAATTATAAGGGTTAAATATTTAATTTTTGATTAAGAATTACCCCATCCTCTTCTATTTGTTAGTCACATTTTAAAAGTCTTTCGCCTTTCGCAGCCACGCTGTGAGCACGGAGCGAACTATTACGTTGCCTTTTACCAAATAATACTGTGTGCTCGCTGCTTGAAGTGGCATACGCCAATTTTTGGGAGGGTCCCACGTTGTGCGGGGTCCTAAAAAAGAAAAAGAAAAAGACTTTTTCCCCATTCAAAAATATAAAATATTTTAATTAAATTTTATTTTAATAAAATAATTATTTATTTTTAAATGACTCTATTTTTTATATTTATCCCTATTTAATAGAGTTTTTATCTTAAAATAAATATAAAATAATTTATTTAATAGCAATACTTTTAAAAAGAGATAATAATTACACATTAAAAAATAAAAAATATATTTAATTTTTTTAACATCCAACCTTTCAAAAAATATCTGATATTTTTGAATGGAATGAGTAAGTCATTTTTTTTTAAATTTTTTTGATGCACAATTGTTAAAATAGCCTTCAGCACATCTTTAAAAAAGTGCAACATTTTTTTTTTTTTAAAAAAATCTTACCTCATATTAAATTACTCTTATTTAAATCTAAGAACAAAAATAAAAAGTAGTTTAATTTTAAATAATATTATTGTAAAAAAATTAATCATTTGATCTTCATAGTTTTCACCCAATTATAACTCAATCCTTTAATTTTGATTCATTATAACTCAATCATTAAATTTTTGACTCATTATAAATTAATTCTTGAATTTTACCTCTTATAGTTTAATTTCTGAAGTTTTAACCTCTTAAATAGTAATCCTTATATTTTAAAAAATAAAATTATAAAGATTAAAAATATTTTAAACTTTTAATATTTATAAAGATTAAAAGGGTTTAATAATTTAAAATATTATTAATAAATGTTAGATTGAAAATTCAGGAACTAAATTGCAAAAGGTAAAGTTCAAGAATTGATTTATAATTGAGTCAAAACTTCAAGAACTAAGTTATAACGAGTCAAATTTTAAAGACTGAGTTACAGCTAAATTAAATTATAAGGATTAAATGATTAATTTTTTTTATTATTCTAAGTAACTTATCTTGAGGAATGATTTACTATTTAGAGGTGAGCAAATAGCCCCCAACCCACCTATATTCGTGTAAAATGGGTGAGTTTTAACTCACCCATAAGAGAAAAAAAAAATGAACGAGCTAATTTATGAAGCGGGACGGGCTATGGGTAACCATCCGGCTACTCATCCTAGCTTGTATATAAGTTCCCATCTGCATTTGAAAAAAAAAAACAGAAACAAAAAAACTTGTGAAGAGGTGAGTCATTATACGTTGCATTTTGCTTCAAACTCAACGGCCACCCCTGATTCCCTCACTCATCCCAGCTTGTATATAAGTTCCCATCTGCATTTGAAAAAAAAAAAAACAAAAAAACTTGTGAAGAGGTAAGTCATTATACGCTGCGTTTTGCTTCAAACTTAACAGCCTCCCCTAATTCCCTCACTCATCCCAGCTTGTATATAAGTTCCTATCTGCATTTGAAAAAAAACAGAAACAAAAAAACTTATGAAGAGGTGAGTCATTATACGCTGCATTTTGCTTCAAACTCAACGGCCTCCCCTAATTCCCTCACTCATCCCAGCTTGTATATAAGTTCTCATCTGCATTTGAAAAAAACAAAAACAAAAAAACTTGTTAGTTGCTGATGAATAAGCGAGCAAAAGAAAGTTTTAAAGTTCAATGATTTTCAATGATCACCTTTTCATTCAACAATCTCTAAATTACTTTTTCCACATTGTACAAATTACAATGATACTAGCCCTTGTTGTTTGGAGTTAGTTTCTATCGTCAAAGAGGCTTTTACTAGCTTCTAGTAGTATATGTATTGAAAAAGTCATTGTAGACTATATAATCTTTGAACAATTGTTTACAAAACCAAGAAGTTCATGGGAGGTTCACTTGTGCATTTTGGTGAACTGAAAAGAATATACTTTTGACATATTTATCTTTTGGTGTTAATGAGAAGATTTTAATATTATTGGAAGAAGACTTGAGAATAATAATCTCCACTTTGTTAAATAAATTGTAGTAATGAAGTTTGAAACTCATTGAATATGACCAATTAATTGATGAATTCCATCCAATGAGGCAATTAATTTTGAACCCGAGTTCTAGAATTTTAAGTATGATTCGATACAGTTGTTCATTCCATAACTTATTTTCTATACATAAAAATTCTAGACAACCTTCCAAACCAATGTTTACAATATGTAAATATTTGCTTATTTATGTTTGCATGACATTTCATATGCAAAAGAACAAGCCACAATTAGAAAAGCTGAGAATTTATCCTCCTTTGTCATATAAAGTTAAGTATGACAATATGCTTCCTTCCTTTCCATTTTGAAGCTTACAAGACAAAATTTTCCTGCAATGCTAACATGGCGAAACTTCAAGCTGGTGATCTCTTTCTAGAGGTTTGTAATGCCATTTGACACTTTCTGCTTCTAGTCTTACTTGATTTGTCACTTATTATTCTAAGACTTTTCAATCATATAATCCACACTTGAATCCATATTGGTCCTACACATTATTTGTCTTCTAGAATTGCTTGGTTTTATAACTAGCAATTTCTCGCGTGTGTAATAGAGTATTCCACGCTTGATCTGTCTTCTTGAAAGGACTGAGTTTTGTAACCAGCTATTTCATGAGTAATAGTGAGTTGGTCTCACATGTGATTCGTCTCATAGAATTGGCTTTAGCATTTTGCCAGCCAATTCACGTGTGAGAACCTGATATTCACATGCTTGTTTTGTCACACAGAATAGTTTGCATATTTTCCTTCAAAACATGTGTGAGTCACTTTGGTGTTTATGCTTGAATTATCATATATGTATGGCTAGAACTTGGCTAGAACTTGGCTAGCTTTATTTCATGCTTAAATCTCATGGTTACATGTAAGGAATGTTACTAACGACTACAAACACTATTCTAATAATCTGTTAATTGCCAAAACTATATATATGATACAATTCGAGTCTAGAACAAGAATTCAAATATTTAGATATCCTTAGATCATTCTAAAAAGCTTTAAATTGTGCATCAAAGTATTGCATTCATCCATTTATCATTCTTGATAAATCTTGTAAAACAGAAGTTCATAAGCTTTCAACTATACTTATTCAACTCTTTCAAGAGAGTTTATCTTTAAAAGTTCTTTGCTTTGTAAAACAAGTTGAAGTCTTGAAAATAATTTTTTCAAGTGAATTATAATAACTTGCTAGTTGTAGTAAGGTTTATTGTTGAATCAAGACTGGTTAAGTCTTATGAGTTGTATTGTGGTTGTAAATACCTATTGAAGCTTGTGAGTTTAGTTGAAAATCTTAAGGTTGATCTTGAGGACTAGATGTAGGCCAAGTTTTGAGCTAAACCAGGATAAATTTCTCGTGTCAATTCTCTTAACTTCTTGCATCTATCTATCTTTCCTTTAAGTTTTCCAGAAAAATCAAGTGTCACCTAATTCACCCCCTCTTAGGTGCCAGCCTATCCAATAAAGCTTTCTTTACATTCATCACTCCAAATAAACTTTGCATTTTTTTGGGTCAATCTAGTCAATGGTGTAGTTATCCTTAAAAAGTCTTTGACAAAACAATGATAATAACCAATTAGGCCTAGGAAACTTTGGATCTTTGTAACTATAGTGGGTCGTGGCCAATTCAGAATCACTTCAACTTTGATTGGATCTACTTGTATACCATCTTTGGACACAACATGACTTAAGATGGTAACTTGATTAAGCTAAAATTTATATTTGGAAAACTTTACACAAAGTTGGTACTCCCTCAATGTCTGTAATACTAGTCACAAATGTTCTTTATGTTCCTCCAAACTCTTTGAATACACTAAAATGTCATCAATGAAAACAATTACAAACTTGTCTAGGAACAGTCTAAATACCTGATTCATCAAGTATGTAGCCAAAGCATTTGTCAACCCAAAGGACATTACCAAGAACTCATAATGAACATATCGAGTTCTAAATGCTATTTTTGGAATGTCCCCTTTCTTAATTTTCAAGTGATGATATCTTGAACGTAAGTCAATATTTGAGAAACACTAGGCTCCTACTAATTGATAAAAAAGATCATCAATATGAGGCAATGGGTATTTATTCTTTATAGTTACCTTGTTAAGCTATTGATAATTAATGTAAAGTCTCGGTAACCCATCCTTCTTTTTCACAAAGAGAACTAGTGCTTCTTAAGGAGAAGTACTAGGGTGAATAAATCCATTATCTAATAAGTTTTGCAATTGACTCTTCAATTCTCTCAGCTTAAATGGTGCCATTCTACAAGGAGGACTTGAAACTGGCTGAGTACTTGGAATCACATCAATAGCAAATTTGATCTCCCTGTCTAAGTATAATTCAGGTAACTCATCTAGAAAGACATTGAGAAATTCTCTAACTATAGGAATTTACTCCAAGCTAGAAACTATTTTCTCGACATTCTTCACTAAGGCCAAGTACCCTTAGCAACCTTTCTTTAAAAGTTGTTAAGCTTTCAATGCTAAAATTAAACCAGTCGATCTATCCATTTGTCTCCCATAAAACCAAAGGAGTTTCTCCAAGAATTTTAAATCTCACCACTTTTAAGTGACAATCAACAACAGTGTGACAAGAGGCTAACAAATTCATTCCCAAAATCACATCAAAATCAATCATATCTAGTATCATCAAATGAACTAGGGTTTCTTTACCCTCAAGAGATACTTCACAAGATTTGTATCCTTGCATAACAAAAATAGGTTCTCCTACAGGAGTAGCAGCCATAAAAGGATCATCAAGTTTGATGGATTCTTTACATAACTTCTTTGCAAAGTATACAGAAACATAAGAATGTGTTGAACCAAGATCAATAAATGCGTATGCACCTTTAGAATATATAGTAATAATACTTGTGATTGTATCATTTGAAGCTTGAGCATCCTATCGAGTCATAACATAAGCTCATGCTTATCCTTGTCCTAAAGATTGTCCTCATTACCTAAATGTTTTTCCTAACATACCCCTGCCAGCAGTAGTAGAAGGCACTCCTATAGAAGTAGTTGAGGAGGGACGTGGTGAAACATATCCCTGGCTAGATGCCGATTGAGTAAGAGGAAAATTTCTTCTTAAAGT